TCCATTGTGTCTGGCAATGGCAGGCTTTGGTAGAGGTGGTCCTTTGCCCTGTGATCTGCTATAGAAATAAAGAAAAGGAAAAGATTGACATGGACGGAGGGCGGATACTAAATCTCCTTGGTAAATTACTTCTTCTTTAGCCGGGTCTGGCCTTGATTGAGGTCTTATACAGCTGCATTTTGTGAAGTGGCATAGTGCTCCCGGCTGCCTGCTCCAGGAGCCCGGCCAGTAATAAAATGGCATTTTCTTTGGCGAAAAAGAAAAGAAGAATGCCCAGGCAGCAAGGCAAGTTGCTCTATGTACTCGCTGAGGTGGCTGTGGCTTAAGTTTGAAAAGAACAGAAAGAAAGGAAAACGAGTCGACTTGCACACCTGTCGAGGTGGATGAAGCTGTAATTTCCGTTTTCTGCCCTTTTTTTTTTTGTTTCAGGGCCTGGGAGCTGGGGAGTGTTTGGTCTTTTTTCACTTGCTGAGGTGGTTGTTGTCCCTTTCTTTCCCCTTTTTTCTCTCTTTTTTTTGTTGTTTTTGACCCGACGTTTGACTATAACTGTACTTATACTATTACATTTACGTCCATGTTATTGATGCATTTGTTTTCTGTTGTCATCTCCAACAAACACTTACACGTTGTAAAAGCCACATATTGGGCCTCGCTGCACTAATCTCAAAATGTGCAAAAGGCGACTGAATCCACCGGTAGAACACGGAAAGATACATCGCAATCTCTTTTGTCTTTTGTGCATGTGGAGAGTAGTGCAGAGAGGCCCATTATTGAAACTTTTTGTGCGGTGCTGATGTGGAAGATGCTGGGATAGAGGAATGCCTGTTTATGCGAGCGGCGGGAGGAAGAAGTGGAGACGCTGAGATCATCGTCGGAGGCAGGGAGAGACAGCGGGACGCTTGATTAACCGCGGCCGGCGAGCAGCAAGCTTAGAGATGGAGTTGCAGGCGGCTACGGTTGCCAGTGTCCCGTCAATTCGCTGCTCCTTGTCGACCTTGGAATCTATTGACGCCAACAAGTATCATGCCGATTGTAGGGGTTCGCCGTCGCAGGCAGGGGGGAGAGGAGCGGAATGGGTTTCTAAGGGGCAACGGGCGACAACACGTTTCTCTAACAGGAGCGGCAATGGGCCGACGATGATGAAGATGGCTATGGCGACGGCGAAGGGTTCTCACTTGCGGTCCTGCGAAGCAGGGGCATGCCTTCATCGATCTCGTCTTGGCTATAATGCTGGCAAGAGCCAACGTTTCTCCCATATCTGTATATTCGGCGGCATCGAGGCTTCTAGCAGAGGATGTGCCAGCACTCCGACAAAATTCGTCGTCAAGGATCGGTGCTGCCGCCATCCAGGGGTCCTCCTGCCAAACGCGTCTGCCTCGGAGACTATGCTGATCACTGAGAAGGAAAAAGAGGAAGAAGGAAAGATCGGCAGCGATGGCGGATGGACGGAGTTGACACAGGTGTGTGCTATTTTGGGGTCGCAATGGGGAGATGAAGGCAAGGGCAAACTTGTAGATATTCTGGCGGAAAGATATGACGTGGTGGCGCGATGCCAAGGGGGTTCGAACGCGGGTCACACGATCTACAATTCTGAGGGGACGAAATTTGCGCTCCATCTGATTCCTTCAGGGATCCTTCATGAGGGGACGACATGCGTGGTCGGCAACGGTGTGGTCGTTTATCTTCCAGGTTTTTTCAAGGAGATTGACAATCTTGAAGCCCAGGGAATCCGCTGTGGAGGGAATCGGTTGCGTGTGTCTGATAGAGCACATCTGCTGTTCGATTTCCACCAAACGGTAGATGGGCTGCGCGAGGCGGAATTAGCGGGAGAGATGATTGGCACCACCCGTCGCGGGATTGGCCCCTGTTATGCCACAAAGGCGATTCGCAGCGGACTCAGGGTTGCTGATCTGCTGCACATGGACTCGTTCCGAGTGAAGCTGGAATACCTCATGAGGGACGCGGCACTTAGGTTTGCCGGCAAATTCGAGTTCAGTCAGCAACTGCTGGATGAAGAGGTAGAGAGGTATACTAATTATGGCAGACGGCTAGAGCCGTACATCACAGATACCGTTCATTATGTGAATGAGGCGTTCGACAAGGAGAAGAAGATCCTTGTCGAAGGCGCTAATGCGACGATGCTCGACATCGACTTTGGCACGTACCCCTTTGTTACCTCCTCGAATCCGTCAATTGGTGGAATTTGTACCGGACTGGGTTTGGCACCTTCCAAAATAAGGACGGTCATTGGGGTGGCGAAGGCCTACACAACACGAGTTGGGTCGGGGCCTTATCCGACGGAGTTATTTGGAAAAGAGGGGGATGATTTGCGGGAGGCTGGGCATGAGTTTGGAACGACAACTGGCCGACCTCGACGGTGTGGATGGCTCGATATAGTTGCGCTGAAGTATGCGTCGATGATCAACGGCTTTACGGCTATCAACTTGACGAAGCTGGACGTGCTGTCAGGACTGCCGGAGATCAAGCTTGGCGTGATGTATAAGACCCCTGGAGGAGAACCACTCCCCTCTTTCCCCGCGGATCTGGAGTTGCTCAACCAGGTCGAAGTTGAGTATGAAGTGTTGCCTGGATGGGCGACAGATATTTCACGACTGAGGAAATACGCTGATCTGCCACCGACGGCCAGGGCCTATGTGGAGAGGGTGGAAGAGTTGGTGGGAGTACCCATTAAGTTCATTGGTGTGGGCCCAGGACGGCACGATCTTATCGTAAGGTCGTGAGTTTGAAACAGAAGCATGCGCACACAAATATATACAGACACTGAGAGAGAGAGAAAGAGAGAGGGAGAAGGGGGGGAGGGGGGCGGGGGGAGGGTACATGCGCAAGATGGGTCGGTGATGGCGTGCGGACGGATATTTGAGTGAGCGAGGAGGGAATGAAGAGAAGGCCTGCTTTGTGGGTGACGTTTTGTACAGCAGCTGTACCATTGATTCCATTTGTGGTCCGTCGTGGTGTCATATTATGGCACGCCCACCGGCATCATTCTCTCCTCGTGTCGAAGAGGCCTTTGCTTGAGCTCGGCGCCTCTTATATATTTCCGCCGTCTTTCTTTGCCATGCAAGCCTCCACATTTCGAATCATTTTCTTCTCATATGTTGGGGCAGCAAGATTGTTCAGCACTCAACCGCTGCATAGGCAGAGAACCTTGTTCATCCTCGATGTAGATATAGTCATATACACTGCCTCTGCTCTCCGTTGGCAGTTTTCTCCTTTGCTTTTCACTCCTCTGTGGCAGTAATGTAACTCACTCTCTCTCTCAAGTTTCAATTTGCTCTTGACCTCCCAGCTGCTAGTCAGCGTGAGAGAGAGAGAGAGAGAGAGAGAGAGAGAGAGAGAGAGAGAGAGAGAGAGAGGGAGAGGGGGGGGGGGGGGGGAAGCTAGGAGAGAAGGGATGTGTGTATTGCTAGTGAACAGCATTTTTTTATTTTATTTTTTTTATTATTTTTAACTAAGCTATATTCTTCTCTCAATTTCACCTTTCATATCTACCTACTACCACAGAACAGCAATTCTATATTATTCCTGGGGGGAAAAAAAAAGAATCTGGGGCACGGTTCCACTATCACACAAGTAAGGTAAACTGTCCCTGATAAACACCTGTGTGACATGTGTGGGACATGGCCCGGTCGTTGGTGCATCAAAATAGGAGGGCAGGAAAATCGAGATGCATGTATATTTCGGAGTTGTGTTTTGATTTTGTTTTTGTTCTTTTTCCTTTTTATTTGCGAACAATTGGATGTGGATAAAAAAATTACAAAGTCTCTTTTCTTTTCTTTTTTTCCAAAGTCTCTTTTTGATTGGCAGCACTTCAAACACGAAAAAGAAAATCGAGTACTGAAGTCTCTTTTTGATTGGCAGCACTTCAAACACGAAAAAGAAAATCGAGTACTGGAAGACGTTGGTATTGAGTGTGCTTTTTTTTTTTTCATGTCTTTTGTTCCCGGTCCCGGTCAATCACAACCCCCTCGAGCACTTCATTTTCAATGCAAAGTAGAAGAATCTGCGCGTGGGGCACACTCTCTCCCAGTGGGGCAGTCAAGCAGTGAATTGACTCTGTCGTCAATGGCCATTGTCGGGCACACTAAGGGGCTACCTTGCAGCAATCATTGCCCACCACCTCTATCCCAGTGGGGCAGTGGAGCAGTGAATTGACCCTTAGTCAATGGGCGTTGGTGGGGTGGGGAGGGGAGGGGAGGGTAAGCGGGAGGAGAGGAGGTCCGGTGTAAAAAACAGGGGTGATGACTCGCATGAATCGGACATGTCTATGGACATGTTTTTGCGGAGATGCATAGATGTAGTTGAATGAATGTTCGCACAAACACGTTTCAGATTGAGACATTCAATCCAATCCCCCCACTACCGTCTTAACCAGAAAACAAAGTACGTACCGTGTATTCAAGTTACCTCCAAAAAACGGGTTCTTAGAAATAAGTGCGAAATTTTGAATAGAACGTACCCTCGAATACAAGGTATGTGCCTTGTATTTACCTTGTATTCGAATACAAGGTACGGATCTTGTATTCGAATACAAGGTACGGATCTTGTATTCGAATGCAAGGTACGGATCTTGTATTCGAATACAAGGTACGGATCTTGTATTCGAATGCAAGGTACGGATCTTGTATTCGAATACAAGGTAGGGATCTTGTATTCGAATACAAGGTAGGGATCTTGTATTCGAATACAAGGTACGGGCATTGTATTCGAGGTGTGCCTCGTCTGTTCCGATTAGAAGGTACCCTGCAGACTCTAAAGTCTACGTGCGAGCTGTAGAACTTCACGCCGCTGTGGAATCGGTGTGTTCATTTTCAAAGAAAAAGAAGAGAACTTCACAGCCCCGTTCTGGTAGCAGTCAATGCGCGCCATGTTCGCCTGTGTAAGTAGGGGACTTGTGGTAGCACCACACAGCGACCCAGTCCATATACATGCTGGTCATTCGTCCCGCCCATATCAAGACTAAAAGTAGCCTCAAGTACAGGCAATTGCATGTGAGCCATAGCATCATCCATCGCCTGCTGAGCTTCTGCCAAAGTGTCATCGTGTCGGTGGGAATATGGGAGAGGTAGTGGCATTGTAACCGACGTCCGGGTTCCAGACAGTCCGGAACAACATGTCGGGGTCCGGTGTCCGATCCATGATGTCTGGATGGAGGCCCCCACGGCAAAAAAAAAAAAAACGGGGCGGCCCAGGATGTTTTTCGGGTCCTGGCCACCCTTAAAAAAATAACGAGGTGATTTTTCAGTGTTGATTCACCCCACCCCACGGGACAGGGCCAAGACGTCCGGACACAAGACACTGCAGGTTTTTGGGGTGGCGGGTTTCACACAGGCCCAAGCAATTTCAAAGCGGCGGTTTTGACATGCTGCCTGCCACCGCTGCCCATTGGAGAGAGAGAGAGCACTGACAGTGCTGCCAGTCTGAAGACTCTTGACGTTCTTATTTGACCTGCAAAGTTAAAACTTTTTTTTTTTTTTTTTTTTCAAAGTTAAAACTTTAAGTTCTATGAAGTTATGAACTTAAATTACTTAATTGTAGTTAATTCAAAGTTCAAACTTCAGAGTTAATCACGCTTTTTTCTTTTTTTTTTCCCTCTGTTTCCTTAGTCTTGTGCCTGCTTTACACTGCTTGCGACTCTGCATGTCTGCTAGTTGAATGTGCTTGTTGATTTGCTGCAAGACAGGTGCTCTGCTGCCTGAACTACAAATTGCCAAGCAGGTAAGTGCCTGCCAACACCCCCATCCACCCACCCACCCACCCCCCTCTTGACTTTTGGTCCTTTGGACCTTTTCTTGATTAATG